GTTGAATTTAATACTGACTCAAACTTTTGTCTACTTTACCATCCAAATTCCAATATTGTAAATTGACCTAAAATATGACATCAATTTGTCATAAAAATTATGTCATAAAAATTGACTAAAATAATGTCTTTTATTGCTTTTTTTCCCCTCTAGTACGGGACCCTTTGAGAATCAGAGATTGCACTTCATTGCTATGCCTCTTTAGTCCCCTTTAATCTGGAACATTTCCACAATCTTTCTTTATCTTTTATCACTATGACATTTTTGAAAAATACGGTAATTCTTTAAAAAACAAAACTTTCCCCAGCTGGGGTTCATCTGATGTTTTCTCATGATTAGATGTAAATTAATGGTTACCCAATGGAATACCACATAAGTAATACCCTGTTCTTCTCAGGGTGAGACATCTATGAAATTCACATATTTACAATGTGGCATTCAATGCCCTTAAATTTTGGCTCTTCCTAGAGTATACACACTGCTTTTGATATTCCTCATTGAACCTTGACTGTCTGACCTCCCAAGGACCAGCCTCTTTAAAAGCTGTTTACCTGTCCAATAACCATTCCTATGAAGGACATACCTTTCTCCCTTCCTTACTAATGCTACTCAATCCTAGTGGCTTGCATGGAGCAGATCCCACTTCTCTGGTTTCAAGGATATCATTAAGGACCAGGGCGGGCCACTATAAGTCCTTTGTTTCCTTAGTCACGGAAATGCAATCAAGGATAGATACATATTCCAAGTTTTGCCATCCTGGACTTTCTTTGGTCCTCTCAAGATATATCTCTTTTCTTTGAGCTCTGTTAATTATGAAGAGCATATATATTTGAATCTGTGGAGGAAGGGCATTTTATCACAATGTAGAGAGATCGTTCTGAGAATGTGGAAAAACTTAGCTATAATTTGAAGTGTATGTGAGAGGGAGAAGAGAAGAAGAGATAGCTGATGATGTCATTTAAGCACCTGATTCCAGTTATGCCTGAAGCCTTCATTGTTCATGACTTCTTAGTTGCATAAGCTGGTAAATTCTTCTGTTACTTAAGCTAAAATGGAGTGTCTATGTCTTACAAATAGCAAGGGCTTAATTTTCATCTCTTTTATCTGATCTGTGTTGCTGAAGCCTCAGCATGATAACAGATTGGGCAAAAATACAGATAATTACTTTCAACATGTACACATTTATCTACAGAACAGAAAAACATTTGTTGGATTCTAAACTCATACATTGCTGTACAGACTGTTAAACCTTGCTCATGAGTGGTCTAACAGGAAAACAGACATATATATATAACCATTCTTATATATATACAATACATATATACAATTATTTAAAATTGTACTTTAAATAGAAAGTACAATGTGAATTTTTGAGAACCCATAGTATGTGTCTAAAGTAGTCCTCAGAGGAAAATTCATAGTTCTAAATGTTATGGATTTTAAATTACATAAATGAAAATAAATCAATTATGTTTAACTTGAGGACCTACAAAAACTAACAAGATATATGGCAATTTACAAAGATAAAAGCAAAAATTACTAGATTACAGAATAGAAAAAAAAGTAGTTGAAATGATCAGTACAACCCCAAACATAAATGATTATATTTTCTGAAAAAACATCTGCTCATAATCAAGAAAATAAGAACAAAATTCAAATGTGTAACATTGAAATGAAAATGGAGAAATAATCTGAGATACAGAAGCAATCCCACAGCTAATCCTAGCAGCACCAATGTGCAGTGAAGAAAAACACACCCCATTCTCAAGTCATTTTACTGCCAAATGCTAAAAAAATACAATGATGAAATTAGTACTACAATATACAAAATCACTACAAAAATAAATGGTGTCCGTTAGAATTAAATAGTGGACAACCTACCTCACCTGCCTAAGGGGAATCTACGCCTTTTGCATAGGTTCTAAGAATACTGCTCAATTTTATATAAATTAATAGAAACTCAAGATGAAATGGATTAGCTAGGAAAAATATAAATAATCAGAACTGCCAGAAGAGATATTTTAAAGTCTAAACACATTATTTATTATAAAAAATTAAAAATAATTTTAAAACTTAAAAAAATACATTCCCAGAAAGCTTCAGAAGTGAATTCCATCAAACCTTTAAGAAACAGAAAATGCTTATGTCATTTAACCTGTTATATGGCATTCTTCCAAAGCACAGCATAATAACTGCTCAAAGAGAAATATTGAAAATTTATATGGACAGTTTAGCAGGGACATTTTGCTAGTTCTCAAATTTTGACTGAATTCATCAAATGCAGAAGAGAGGAAAATTCATCCCAGGAAGTGAGAATTTTTTAGCAAGTCTTAGAAGTATGAATACATAGATAAACTATTCATCAAATGGCATAAGCCTGGGAAAAGTGAAAAAATAAATAAATGATAAGATCAATAATGGAAAATACTCTGATGATCTGGAATGATGGAGCTAATTCTAAAAATACCAAAATATGGAACTAAAGTTTCATAGTTAAGGCCAGGAAAGTAGTCACACCTGTGATAACAGCTATTCATTGACTAACTCAATATGACTCCAAAATGTGATGTGGTTAGCAAAAATGTGAAGCAATCCTTAGTAACAGAAGTATACTACCTAGAATGAAGATGATAATCTCTCTCTATACTACTGTATCCAAATGTACTTTGATACAGTGCTCAGTTTTATAAGAATATTCTCTCTTTTTTTGAGACAGGGTCTTGCTTTGGTGCCCAGGCTGGAGTACAGTGGCGCAATCTCAGCTCACTGCATCCTTCACTTCCCAGGCTCCAGTGATCCTCTCACTTCAGCCTCCTGAGTAACTAGGACTACAGGGACTACAGTAGGTGCACGCTACCATACCTGGCTAATGTTTTAAGGTTTTTGTTTGTTTGTTTGTTTGTTTTGCTTTTTGTAGAAATGTGGTTTCACTATGTTGCCCAGGCTGGTCTCGAGCTCCTGGTCTCAACTGATCCACCCTCATCGGCATCACAACATGCTGGGATTACTGGCATGAACCATCACGCTTGGCTGAATATTCATTATTTAAAAAGACAGAAAAGATATCTGGAGGAAGACAAGGATAATGAGGAGCCACTTGGTGGATTCTCCTGTTTTGCCTATCCCTATTCTTTGGGGAATAATTTATTTCTCCTTAAGGAAGCATTTACTCCCCATTCTAAGCCCATCTTAGGTCTCAAATTCAGCCAGAGCGTGGGGCACTTGATCCAGGAAGGTCCAATCACAGTCGTTAATCCTTCTGGAAAAAGTGACTAATTTGATTTTAGGTTCATGATAACCAAATTAAGTTAGGACTTCAGTTGGAACTACTGGAAACATAAAACACTTTCCGCTGAGGTTGCTGAGTTGACAGGTGGTAAATCCAGGGTTAATAGGGACATCATGACCATGAAGCCAGTGAAAAATTATCACAAATAAGAGATGAAAAGATATAGGTTGTTGATGCCATTGAATGAGAACCTTGGTTCAGTCTTTCCTGAAGTAGTCTGAACTTTTCAGTTACGTGAATCTACAAATGCTCTTTAACTCATTTGAGTTCAGTTTCTGCCATTTGCCCACCAAAAGATTTCTAGCTAATTCAGCATCAAAAACATGCTGTATGAAAAACGAATAAAATAACTGTTGATTTTGAAATTAAAATGACACATGGAGATCCTGACAGCTCTCTTTAAACTCTTAAACATTACTTCACTGAAATCAGAAACAAAGCAAAGGATGACCTGCATCAATGGTATTATTTTGCAATTTTCTGGAAGTTTTATAAAATACAATAAGACAACAAAAGGAGAAAACTTTTTTTTCTCTTTGTTGATATTATTGTAAGTCTAGAACTTACAAGAGGCTCCAGTTAAAACCCATTTTATTTTGACAAAGTGTCTGGATGTGAGATAAATATACAAAAATCAATACATTTTTAAAATCAAGCACTCACTAGCTAGAAAAAGAAAAGAAATATTTTATTCATAAACATGATAAAAGCTAAACATACTTAAAATGCATTAAACCTCAGAGACATGGGACTTATGTAAAGAAACCTATAAAATTGTGTTAAGAGTACCAATCAAGATATCAATAAATGGGAAGATCTATTATGTCTATGTATGGGATAATTTAATGACTTAAAATATCAATTACATCAAAATTATCATATTAATGCAATGTAATTTTAAATAGGATCCCACATTTTTGTTAATTTTATAAAATAATGCTAATTTTAATGTAAAAGAATAAGTTCCCCAAATAGCCAAATAGAGAATAATAGTGAAAAATGACTTGGCTTGGCAGATATTAAAACATACTATGAAATTACCATAAAACAGTAGACATGGATGACATGTGGATAAATAGATCAAGGGAAAATTAACCTTGAGATAAGTTGCATAATATAAGACAATTGTGTATATAATAAAATGACAGTAACTAAAGCATAGTTTTATTTAATAAATCATGCTGGCACAATGGCCTATCATTTGGTTAAAAAAAAAATAATAAAATGGAGTCCATTAACTTATACTATATATTAAATTTCAGCTAGATTAAAATCTAAATGTAAAGGAAAAATGAGACAGTTAAAATCCTAGGTTATAATTTAAAATTATATGCATTTGTCTAGATATGTAAAGCATGCAAAATACCCAAAAGCTATAACATTTTCTCCTAGCAATCTAACTTGTCCTCAGTCTTACCCTGGCCCTCTGGTGGAGGAAGAAGGGTACACAGAAATCACATTTAACAAATGGAGGATCCTGAGTCTAAGAAGATATCAGGTATAGGGCTGTCACCACCAATGCCTGCAGAGAATTGCTACAATCAACAATTAGAAGGTGCTTTGGTCCCAAATCTTATCTGGTTTCTCATCGCATTTGCTAGTTTTCAGCCAAGGAAAGAATTTCCTGTATTATTATTTGTACTGATTATCTCCTGGTCCATCTTATCTACAAATGCTACTTTTTTTTTTTTTTTTTTTTTTTTGCAAGGAGGAAAAACAAAACAACTGAAGTGAATATACTTCTTAGCAAGGTGACACACAGTCGCTGTTCCAATACACAGCCTGGTGAGTTTGGAGAAAATGGAAGTGAAAGCATCAGAGAAAGACAGGGATAACAACTCACGTTTATTGTTTACCTACTATGTGCAAAGTACTTTCAACATCTCAACTAAAAGACAACCAGAGTAAGTATGTGTTTTTATTTCTCCCTTACAAATGAGGAGACTAAGGTTCAGCAAGTCTAAATAACTTGCTCAAGATCACTGTAGTAGGTATCCTGATGGGTTTTCCTGCCTGTTCTTTCCCTTCCACACTCAGATTTCATCTTGGGAAACCACTCCACCCCCATTCACAGTTCTTGTGCATTCAGGATGGGCACATGGTTGAGGCACAGCCAATCACTCTGTTTCATCTCCTGGTTGGTTCAGGGATAGGCATGAAACCCTGGTTGCTCCTAGTACAGTCCTTTTTAAGTTTTCAGTGGATTTGTTGGGAAACCAATTTTTTTCCTCTTGTTAGCTAACCTGGAAGCATAGGGCTGCCAGAGGCCATCTTGTGCACAGAGCCAACCTGAGAATTATGCAGGATAGATAAAAAGCATAACCAAGAGCTGGGACAAGAGACAGAATCTTAACTGCATAGATTGAGTCCCTGGATACAGCCATACCAGCAGCGAATGCTACACTTGGAATTTGCAGATATACGGACCAATACATTCTCTTATTTACTTAAATCAATTCATGTTGGGCTGCTATCCTCTGCACAGGAAACATCTTGATTAATGTTTCACAGAGATAAGAAGCGATAAGGCCAAGATGAAGGCCATGCTTTCTGGAAAAGGACCATTTATCAGCCAGAGGAATAGTACAATTCACAAAAGAACCTGCTGTGATTCCTGACACATCCTCAGCCTGCTACGAACTTTATGTCTTTCATGCATGGGATTAGGGAAGAACATGCTGGGGACATTGATGGAAATGAGTTTTAAATTGTATTGGGAAAAAAAATGAAATCCAGTTCCCAGGGATTTGGCTTTATTCAGTAGGTACATGGTATTCAGGGAAATGGACATATTGAAGTGAAAAGAAAAATCCATCTGAGTTAAAAGAGCAGAAAGACAGTTCTGGTTCCACCATTCAGCTGTATGTTTTCAGGTGAGAGAGCATAATTCTCTGAGCCTTCTTTCTCTTACTCTTGAGAGATAGAAGAGCTTTCGTGAGATACAAATGAGATTGTGGCTGCTAAAGTACTTACATTTGTTTTAGTTGCAAAGGGCATAATATAGTATCATTAAATGTTGCCGAGGTATTTGGGTACAGTTTAGATTTTCTGTGCCTTTAACAACAACATATAAAAGGTGAGTCTTTAGACTCAGCATTAAAAACAAATAACATATTTAAAGACATAAATACTGCTTAAAAATAAATAAGTGGGATCAAGTTAATTGCATTTACCAATATCAGAAATTAGCCAAAAGGCAGTATTGGAAAGCCAAAAACGGTGACTCATAAATAAACAGTATATATTATGTGCTCTTTACAGTACTGTATGAAATGGTAGGGAATGTAGCTAATATAAAGATGAAATGAGAAAATAAAGAGAATAAATAAGTTATAATCAGATAGAAAAGATACATCTAAAGGATTAAAAATACCAAACAAGACTCTACAGAACAAAATAAAAATAAAAGTGTGAGAAGCAAATAACAACGAAAAGAAAAAAGTGTTATAAAGCTGAGAGAGTTAAATAAAATAAGGCACTAAGAGGAATGGGGGTGTTATGGACTGAATATTTGTGTCTCCCCATGATTCAAATTTGAAGCCTTAACCCCCAAATGTGATGGTATTTGGAGATGGAGCCTTTGGGATGTAATTAGATTTAGATGAGGTCATGAGGGATGGTTACCCATGATGGCATGAGTGTTCTTCTAAGAAGAGGAAGACAGATTCTCTCTCTCTGTGTCTCTCTCTCTCTCCACACACACACATGCACACACATGCACACACACACACACATACAAGGTTATGTGAGCACAGGCGAGATGGAAGCAATCTGCAAACCAGAAAGATGCACCCTCACCAAGAATTGAATTTGCCAGCACCCTGATCTTGGACTTCCCAGCCTCTACAACTGTGAGAAATAAACGGCTCCTATTTAAGCCACTCAGTTTGCAGTATTTGGTTATAGCAGCCTGAGCTGACTAAGACAAGAGAGATTCCAGGTTGTCAGTCAGCAACCCAATCTGACATTTATCAAGTGCATAGTATGTGCCACGTGCCAGGTGTTTTATATCTAGTATCTCATTGGATCCTAATAATCACAGTATGAGTTTGGTATTAACATCCCCATTTTTAAGGAAGGACGCTGAGTCCCAGAGTGGTTAAATGATGAGTCCCAGGTCTCACAGTAAGTAAAAGTGGAACTTAGATAGGAATTCCACTCTTTTGGTTCCCAAAGCTTACCTGCTTTCCCCTACACTTCCTCTAAAAGAAACTAGGGATGCCCCACAGCTGCCACACTCCCACACCTCCAAAGTCCAGTGCTTTCTCTGAGGGTCATTGGAATTTCAAGACAGGATGGATATCTTTGGGTGTGAAGTAAAGGCTAGATGGAGCACAGGGTCCACTCCATATTATTTCAGTAATAGCCCCATTTCTCCTTGGAAATCAACCCCTACTATATTCTCAGGACAGAAACCCTGAATAACACCTCATCCCCAGCTCTGGGGTGGAGCACAGAACCCAGACTCAACCCATCAGCTTATGGCATTCCATGACAACAACGATTGTGATGGAATCCTGGGTGAGCAGGTGAGCCAAGCCTGCCAATCAAAGTCAGCAATTCTAGATTGCGGGCCTTTGGTCTGAACTCATAGACAATTAGATTCTCACCCCCATCCCTCTCCATCCCACATCCATCCAGCTGGACCCAAAGTGGAAGGAGGCAGTTCCACAATGGTGGCAGTCCACTACGAAGCAGAGACCCTGCCTAAGAATGGGCGCCATAATGCAAGCAAGGCAGAGCTGTGCACAGAGGAGAGAACAACCACGTCCCGGTGGCATTCCTCCACCCTCAACCAAGCCAAAGCTGCAGCAAAATTACTCCCTGCACCATAAAAGTGCTGGAGCAAGTGTGGCTTGGGTTTTCTTTTCCTCACAGCCTCAAATTTACAAACTGAGACACAGACTTGAAGCCTTATATCCCTATTCGAGTGAGCTCTAGAGAAAGCCAACAATGCTTTTCACCCCTAGCCTCAAAGTTTCGCCAAGGAGCTTTGTCTTCAACATGGCACACACAGGTGGCACTATCAGAAGACCTGGACAAAACATGTGGGCGCTTCCTTTGAAGATTGTATATTTTGAATATGTGCAGAAGAAGACCAAAGATACCCTTCTCTGCTGGTTTCAGTACAAAGAGTCAGATAAGCCTGGATTCAAATATTAGCTTTGTCATATCTTAGACACACCATCCTTGGGAAGTTAGTGGCTTTCTTCTACCTCTGTGCCGTGATATATACTCTTAGCTCTACCTGGAATACTCTTCCATCTCCCCCATTTACCTGGCTAATTGCTGGACATCATCCAGGTCTCAGCTTAGAACATCAATTTATCCAGGAAGTCCTCTTTCTCACCCTAAGGTCTAAATCAGTTTCATCTTTTCCAAGTTTCCAAATAACTTCCATTCTTCCCTTGTCCTAACATCGATCTCACTATTATAATCATACGAATCATAATCAAAGGTTAGTCATAAATATCTTGTTTGTTCACCAGAATACGAACTCCATGAGGGCAGGGAATGTGTCAGAGTATTCATCATCAAAGCCCTAGGATTTAGCACCATGCACCTGGTAGATACTTTACAAACCTTGCCATTTTCTAATCTGCATAATGGACATAATTTTAGCCAGTCTCATGAGATTGCCTGGAGATTTAATTCTGTAGATAGCCCAAGAACATTCCTAGTACCCACTGGGTGCTCTATAAATATTAATTCCCTTCTACTTAATTCACCTTTTCCAAGAAATTTGAAGTATATTCTTTGCTAATCACTAACTTAATCTCCCTGATTACCATTAATAAAGCTAATAAAATCCTCACTATTTCCTCAAGAGACCATGGCAACTCAGGGGTTAATGGTAATCTGTCTCAGTTTGACAGAAATATTTGGCTCACAATCACTAAGAGGAGCTCTTTTTTTTTCTCTCAGTAGGTGTCAACACAGAAATAAAGTGATTAAACGTGTTAAATATCATATATAATAAATGGCACCAATATAAAACTGAATGCTCCTAATATTTCCTTTGAGTTGCTACCTTTTGCATTAATTGAAGCAAGAAATGTTCCACTTAGTTAAAATATCTACTTAGTATCCTGCTCATAAACACATCTGCTGCCCTAGTTCCCTGGTTCAGTGGGTTTAAATTAGTTGGTATCAATGTTATTGATGATAAGAGGACTTGGAGAGCATTCTGAGGTCCTGGTGAAGCGGGTGATGCTCTGGGTTTATGTATTCTCCAACAACCATCGAATCAGGGCTCTGTTGAGGACTGGGGGTGAGCTGACTGCAGGTTTTGTAGCAAAAGCTATAAGAAGGAAGATAACAAGCCTTGTGGTGACAGACAAAAAGTCACACTACTTGATAAAGACGCTGTCATCATAATAAATGCCTTTGCTGAAATGAATGGAAACTGCCCTCTTGTGTGTCTAGGGCAGAAGAACATTTTTTAAAATCGACCGTTGATTATACATGAGACAGTGCGTAGCACAGTGTTAAGGTCATCGGCCTCAAGAGTCAGGCAGGTTTGGGTTTGAATTGAGTTCTGACACACCCTGCATATCCTTGGACATAGCTCTTATTCACTCTGATCTGCTATTTCTTTATCTGCAAAATAGGGATAAAAATGGCCCCTGAATCATGGGTTACTGTGAAGGTTAATTCCTCCCAAGTCACTTAGCACAGTGCCTGGCACATGCCAAGTTAGGTATTATCACTATTGGAATATGTGCATGATGTCATTTAATCTTCACACTCGTCTCTTCGGACATGCATTATTATCCTACTAGAAGGCTCCCTGAGCCGAAACATCTGGGTTCTAAAGCTATTTAAAATGGTCAAAATCCAAAACACTGACAACACTAAAAGTTGGCAAGGATGTGGAGCAACAACCACTCTCATTCGTTGCTGG